TTAGACAAATACCAGATTCATACACATGCATACAAACCACACACACACAAATACCAGATTCATACACATGCATACAAACCACACACACACACACATTAGACAAATACCAGATTCATACACATGCATACAAACCACACACGCACACACACAATTAGACAAATACCAGATTCATACACATGCATACAAACCACACACACACACACATTAGACCAATACCAGATTCATACACATACATACAAACCACACACACACACACACACACAATTAGACCAATACCAGATTCATACACATGCATACAAACCACACACACACACACACACAATTAGACCAATACCAGATGCATACACATGCATACAAACCACACACACACAATTAGACAAATACCAGATTCATACACATACAAACCACACACACACACACACAATACCAGATTCATACACATACATACAAACCACACACACACACACATTAGACAAATACCAGATTCATACACATGCATACAAACCACACACGCACACACACAATTAGACAAATACCAGATTCATACACATACAAACCACACACACACACACACACATTAGACAAATACCAGATTCATACACATACATACAAACCACACACACACACACACACACACTAGACAAATACCAGATTCATACACATACATACCACACACACACAAATACCAGATTCATACACATGCATACAAACCACACACACACACACACACTAGACAAATACCAGATTCATACACATACATACAAACCACACACACACACACACACACACACAATTAGAATCTGGTATTGACCAGATTCATACACATGCATACAAACCACACACACTAGACAAATACCAGATTCATACACATGCAAACCACACACACACACACACACGCACAAGTACCAGAATCACACACATGCATACAAACCACACGCGCACACACACCAGATACACGCATGCAACATGCAGATAGGCTCTGCGCACACACAGGTGCACGCACCCACAACACACAAGTACACATCACCTACACACGTACCTCATCCATACACTGCTCGCTGCATACATGCACACGTCCACACACCTCCGTCCACGTGCTTCGAAGGGCCATGTGGTCCTAGGTCGTCGGCGCACTGGGATTTCTGACCGGGATTATACTTTCAGGCCGGTGTTTTTGTGCAGGAGTGAGGTTTTCCCCCTCGGTCCGATGGAAGGGGGAGTGAGCCTGTGGGGTTCAGCTCCTGGCACCCATGACAAGGCTAGTCCCGTTGGAGTGTCTGTGAGGAGTCAGGAAGTTGAGATATTGTGGGGAGCAGGCAGCCCCTGGTGGTTCAGCTGCTTTATTTGTGGATGTGATCCATGGCGAACAGCTGCCGACACCTATCCCGAGGCTTATAAAATATTCAGGAAATTCCTCCCCGAAAGTCGACAGCACCACTTCCTGCTGGTTGGTGGTGCCGGTGATGCGCGTTTCCCACAGGAGCCTCCACGGGAGGAGGCACAGGTGGCAGCAGCAGCTCAGGGTCACCCCGAGGGGGCCCCCCCCCCCGCCCAGCCGCCCCAGGGAAGGGCCGCCGGGGAGCGTGGACGCTGAAAGCATCGGAAGGAGCGCAGGGGTGTCACTGGAGAGGAACGGAAGAGTGGGAATGCCATGGGAGTTGAAATCGGGGGGCCCAAAGTGGGCAACAGAAGAGCCCCGCCTCCCGCCGGGCCCTTCGGAACGGCCGACCCTGAGTGGTAACAGCACTCCGGCCTCCACACCGTGGCGTGTCCGTCGTGTTCTTTGGCAGCAGGCTGTCGTTCTGTCCGTCCGCACGGGTCTCGGCCGGTGCAGCATCTGTGATGCTTTGGTGCGACCCCTCCCCTCCCCCCCACTGTGATACTCCGCGTAGTGGATTGTCACGTTCTCGGCTCATTGTGTTTATGCCCTTCTCCCAACCCTGTCGTTGTGTTCCTGCAGCTGTGTGACCTGAGGGCCGCAGTTGTGGATACGTGTGAGGGGGATTTCAGGGTAAGCGGCCCCAGCCCGCCGGGCCCCAGCGCTTGCTCGGCTCTGCATGTGGCTCGGACCTCCTCCCCGCATGGCAGCTCCGCTCCGTGCCTCCCCCCACGCGGCCTCGGCGTCTGCGAGCTCCTCTGGCTTTCCGGGGGGCGGGGGGGGATCACTGGCCTTCTGGGGGCTGGCTGGCTTCGCGCTAGGAGACGGGGAGGAAGTCCGCAAGCAGGCTTCGCCGGCTCTCCCCTCCTCCTCTGGCTCTCGAGCACCCGGGTCAGCCCCGCGATCCCTCTCCCTTGGGCCTAGAACCACAGGGCTCCCAGGTCCGCTCTTCCTGTGGCATCTCTCTTCCTTGGGTTGCCTGCCACAGACCTTGGTGCCCGGTGCCCCAGTCGCTGCGTATGCCTTGGCTCAGAGAGGTGTCCCCAGGAGGGTCCTGGGGCACAGCGGGCACAGCCTCTGCTGCGGGGTCGGGAGCGGCTTCTCTGCGGCCGTGAGGTGGTCCTGGCAGACCCCCACTTTCCGAGGTGGGCTCTAGCTTGTCTTCCTCGGGGCCGACACCACGGGCGAGTCCTGAAGAATCCACAGTGGTAGGATTCAGGCCGGGGCTTATGTCCCCCAGGGCCTCTGGCCGGCTGGCTCCTTGCTCAGTATGGGGGGGGAGGCGGGGGGGAGCATTATACCGGTTTCTGCCTCCTCTCTGCCCACAGCGGGCAGGTGTTCCAGATTAAAACCGAGGGACAAGCAGGAGAGAAGCCGGCGGAAATCAGGGGTTCTTGTCTGCTAAGCCCTGGGTCCTGTGGACACTTGGGGCGGCAAGCACAACACAAGGGTGTCCCCTGCCTGCCCACCCACAGGTCTCATTCCAGACACTTCTGACCCTGGCAGTCGGTGGGGGCTTCTCTCCCTCGATCCTGCTCTCTGGTGACTTTGTTGCCTTCCCCGAGGGGTCTGAGGGAACATCCCCTTTGGGCCACGGGGAAGGTAAACCTGCCCGAGGCCACACTCCCCACATGCCAGCCAGGAGATTTGAAATCCGAGCCAGCAGAACGCTGCAGGGCAGGGGGCCCCAGGCCAGGCATGGAGTCGGGGGGCCCCAGCAGAAAGGGCAGGACACAGGCCGGCAGCTGTACCCCGAGGCTGGAGGAGTGTCACTGGCAGAGCCGAGCCTCGGACCCCTGTCTCTGTGCTGAGGTGGCGGGATGAAGACAGGAATGACATTTTGAGGACTGGGGTGGGGGGGAGACGATGACAGAAGGACTTTTTGTCCCACAGCTTCCATGTTTGTATGTCTTTTAGCGCAGCGTCCAAATGTCTGTCTGTCCACCTGGTTGTAATATGCTTAGGCTGAATGTTGGTTTTACAAAAAAATCCGAAAGACAAACCAGCCCACCCACCCCAGGCTGGCCCAGGGCTGCCCCCGTTCTGGGAACACCTCCCCTGTCATCCGGGCCCAGGGTGACGGCAAGGCTCAGTGGGGCCCGAAACGAGGCAGGCCAAGGAGGGGGTAACAGTCCAGATCCTCGGTTCTGGGCCCACCATGCTCCCCCAGGGTCCACAGGCTGAGCGTGCCGCCACCCCTTGGGTGTCCTCCGTGGGCTCGCCTGTCCTGAGCTGCCTCCCCACCAGGAATGGAGCTGGGGGGTGCGCAGAGGCCGTGGCCCGGGAGCTGTTGCGGCGCTCCTCCTCGAGCGTCCCCGGCCCCATGGGACTGGCTCGTGCGCGCTCACCGGGCCGGAGCAGAGCAGCCCAACCCTAACCCTACCGTGCAGCAGGCTGCCTCGGCCGGCCCCGGGGCCCGGCCACTACCACCTCCTGCGCCCGGCCGCCGCTCTCAGCTGCCTCTCTCTCTGCCGCCTTGCAGATCTCGTCCACTTTGACATACCCTCCATCCACGTAGAGCTCGGGCCGCCGCTCCGCCTGAGCCCCCTGGAGCACGCGCGGCGACACTCGGTGACAGAGAAGAGGGACTCGGAGGAGGAGTCTGAGAGCACCGCCCTCTGACCCGCGCCCGCCCCGCTCCGCGTGTACATACCTGGGCCCCGCCCCAGAGCGCCCCTGGGCTTGCCAGGCAGGAGTTGTGCGGATCGCCCTGCCCTGTGTGGGCCGACTTCGTTCGTTCCCTCGGGGTGGGGACTCTGGCCTTTTGTTTGATCTTTGCCTTTTGACTTTGTGCCTCTTTTGATCCACTTTCAGCCTCCATGCCAAGTGGCACCCCCTCCGCCCAACGGCTTCCGTGTCAGAAAGGTCCTTTGCGGGTGCAGGCTGGGGGGGTTGCGAAGGAGGGTCGGGGTGCCTGGTTCCACTCGTGGCTACGGTGCGGGGGGGGCACACCCTCTCCCCTACAGCACACGAGTTCTGGATTCTAGAAGGCCCGGCACTGACCTTTGCCTGCTGCACAAGTTGGGGAGGGGGCCAGCCCCTGTAAAAATCTTTCAGGCTGCCCTTACTGCGTGGGCTCCAAAGTCAATGGCTTCAAACAAAATTTGTTTCACTTCCTAACGGTTTTACTTTTCCCGACCATGTGACTGAGAACTTCGGTCCCTACCTTCTTGTTTTGTACTTCTGAATTTGAAAAGGTGATCCTGAGGGTGTCTGGACGGCCCACCGAGCGCTCCCATAGGCTCCCAGAGGCGGCTCTGCTCGGGTGGGGGCTGGGAGCCTGCGTCTCCTCCCGGGTGGCCACAGGGACTAGCAATAAATCTGTTACCCAGAGCATGCGCAGGGCGGGAAGGTGGCCCGCGGGGACCCGAGGCCACCGGGCCTGCAGGGTGGCGGCCTTTGCTCAGCCACGGCTCGCCCCCCGCCCCCTTTCCTCCTCCGGGGTCCCATCCGTTCTCGGGGAGCCCAGTCACACTTCGGGATTGAAGGAGCAAGACACAGATTCGGGTCATGCATGCCAAGTCACACTTTCCGATTTTATCCTTTTAAAATAGATCTGATATACCTATACAGGATATAATATTTGTATATATGAAATCTATATTTGTTTAATTTGAGCCATTCAAACTAAACCAATGTATAGGTGTACAATGAGAAATTTAAAGGCCTAGTTATTTTTCCCAACAACAGTGTAAGATAACCCTGCCCCGCTGGTGGGATTCACCAACTTTGGATGTTAACAGCTTTGCTCACTTCCTGGCAAGGACGGGTCCGTACCCAATTTGTAATGGAGCCCAGGGGTCGAAAGTTACCTTTAAATACATGTACAAATAGTTGTTGAAAGTAATGTTATTAAAATAGGTTTATTATCCCTGAGCGTGGCCTATCTTCTTGTGTTGGGGACACGCCTCTGTGCAGGTGACCCTCGGGAGGACATCGGAGGTCACGGCTGGGCCAGGCTAAAATGCTCAGTCGGTCTCTTCCAGATCGTCTGTGCTTTTAAAGCTCTGTGTTCTCACAAATAAATACCAAATTAGTCGGAAAATTCTCTCCATTTCCAAGCACTGACCTCAGTGTTTGTTGGTTGGTAAATCCCAAAAGGAGGGCAGGAGAGCCGGCTCGTCGTCCGATCTCTCCACGCTCTGAGGGCAGTGAGGGCGTCTTGTTCTCGCCGTGGGGCAAGCACATCTGTGGTCGCCCATTTCCCCTGCAACAGCGCGAAGACTTGCGTTTTCCTGAGCCGCTGCCCAGATCCTGCTGGCATGGCTTGACTCGGTTAAAAACTAGGCTACGGCGGGGTGGCGGCTCCCTGGGTCCCGGCCGCGATCAGAGCTGGCTTGCAGGTCACACTGGGTACCGGGTGGTACAACTCTGCAGGGCAGGTAGACGCCTGCTCCGAGGTGGCACCGGGATGAAGCAGAGCACTCAGGTTCCAAGCGGCCTCTTTATTTTATCTTTGCAAAGGCTATTCCTGGAGTCCTGTCCACCACCCAGCGCTCGGGGACGTGGCTGGCTTCGGGCGTGGGCAGGCCGGCTTTCCACGTGACTTCTTTAAAAATCAGTCTGTACCAAAATCGAATTGTCCCTCGTCTTCCATCCAGCAGCCTCACGTCCCGAGGCACCGGCTGTAGGAGGTGTCCAGCAGGGCCGTCCTGTGCGGGGGGCCCTGGCCAAGACCCGGGTGCACACCCCGCCCCCACACCTTGGTGCCTCGCGGTCGAGCCGAGCCCTCCGGCTCCCACCAGATCAGGGGAGCCCACACCGTGCCGTGCGGAGAACGCCAGCCTTGCGAGTCCAGGGTCCCTCCCGCGCCCTCACTGGGCCCTGACCTTCTTGCTCTGGGGGTTCTGAGGCTGCTCCGTGAGGGCCCGTTTCTGCAGGGGTGTCCCATCCTCGGGGCCACCCGCCTGCTCCCTGGACAGCAGGGCCGTCCGCGCCAGCCGCACCTCCCGCTTCTCCCTGCGCTCCTCCATCTCCTCGATGTCGCCGGCAAACAGGGCTTTGAGCGGTGCGGTCAGCTTGGGCACTGTCGGGAGGTCCCCGAAGCTGACCTGGAAGGTGAGCCCAGAATCAGGACGTGCGTCCGGGGCCCGGCAGGAGCTGGACGGAGGGGGCCCTCTGCTCGCGGGGCAGGCGCCGGCTCCCTCTCGCCCACCTTCATGTCAGCTGACCATAGGGATGAGGCCAGGGAGGGAGGGAGGAAGCCCTCTCAAGAAAGGGGCACAGACTCCCCACTCCTGGCTTAGGAGGCCCCACTGAATGGGCCTCCGGAAAAGAGGCAGCCCAGACTCTGAAAACCAGGCTTGTCAGAGGCACACCCGGCCCCCACCCTCATTCAGGGAGGCCGGAGGGGTGAGGCTGGCTTCCCCAGCAGGAGAGGGGAGCACACCTGTCTCCACGTCACGGGGCTGGGGAAACGGCATGAGCCGGAGTCCCCCCATCACTTCCAGCAGCCTGAGACTCAAGTCTGTCCCGAAGGCCCTGGAGCAGGTGGGTCCGCCGGGGAGCATGGACAGACCCTCCTACCCTTGGCCCTGAGCACCGTACGTAGGGAGCACTGTCTCTGCCCCACCCCACCCCAGCCGGCCCACGTGGCACAGACCTTCATGTGGTCAAAGGCAATCCCCACTTTCTCGTTGAAGTCGGGGCTGAAGAGCGGCACCTTGGCATAGCGCTGACTGAAGTGGTTCAGCATGGTGAACCCCGCGTTCATCCGCACCCCCACGCCAATCGCCTGGGAGGTAGTGCTGCCAACAGAGGGGCCACGTAAGGCTGATGCCCAAGTGCAGGGAAGACCCGAGCCCCCAGATTTCCCCCGTGCACCCCAGGAAGGCCACCTCTGTCGCCAACACCAACTCTCCTAAGGGCCAGATTCCTTGCTCACGCCCCTAGATGGAGCCCGAGCCGAGCGCTGGCGGGCACACCACCCATCTGTGAGGGCAGCAGAGAACAGGCAGGTGGCTCCTCACTCGGGGGACACTCTTGTCCCAGCAAAGCCCAAGATCCGCCCTGGGCCCTCCATCCCCTGGCAGTTCCCTGCGTGGCTGACGGCTGATGTCCGCATATCTGCAATACTCTGAGAAACCCACCCCAGCTGGCCCCCTGCCCGGACAGCGCTGCAGAAGCAGATGCAGAAGCCCCCACGGCCTCGCCGGGAAGCAGGCTGGCCGGCCTCGGGTCACTGTCACTGGAGAGCGCAGTGAGTCCCCGCGGGGCAGGGAGCGGGTGACCGCAGCTCAGGGCTCTCCCCTACCTGTGTGTCTTTTCCACGGCCTCCTCCTCCAGGCCGTCTTCCAGCGTGGCCTCGTGTATCAGGAGGGTGGCATCCTTCCCTAGAGAATAATGAGCACAGCCAGTGGAGCAGAGTCCCCTGCCTGACAAGCGCTGGGCCCGGGGTCATCGGCCCCTCCCCAGCCTGCTGCCTCTACTTACCCATCTGGACCAGGGCCTCACAGGGCATGGTGTCCCCGGAATAGACCACTTTCCAGCCGGACGTGTGGACCAGCGCGCAGCCGAAAGCATGCTTGCAGTGCCGGACCAGGCAGGTCTGAAACTGAAGAAGCAGGCGAGCGGCTGTGCAGCCATGCCCCCACCCCCGTCCCTCCCCCCCCGCCCCGGCCTGCGGGCGCCCCCTTACCTCTGCCAGGTCACACGCTCCCAGCAGCGAACCAATCAGCCTTTCAACCGCGGGGCTGGAGACCTCCGCTCCTTTCTGAAGGCACTTGGCGGGAATCAGGCTGTGAGGACACAAGGGTTACACAGCAAACACGAAAACCGTGATTCAGAGTTCGAGCGTCTGGCTAGAGAACCCCAAACTCCTTATCATAAACACAAATCCGTCACCAAGAGAAAAGAGCAGACAGTTAAAAAGAGCAAAACCAAGCCCCCCCTCCCAGGCCGTAGCAAGGCACCCGCAGGACAGGAGAGGCCCGCCCTGGGGCAGCCGCCGCTCCAGGGTTTCGTGGAGAATCTCGAGACTGGAACAGAACTGCAGAGGCGGAGAACAGCCCTAAACGAATGGGCACAGCGGCCGCTGGCCTCTGTCCTGGACAGGAAGCACTCCTTCCCACCGCCGCGCCCCAGGGCCCGGGGAAGGCAGCACCGGGGGGCGTGGTCGGCGTGGGGGCGTGGCCACAGTCGGGGCTGGGGCGTGGTCGGAAGGGGTGGGCCATGGTCGGGGCCGGGGTGGCGGCGGAGTTGGGGTCTGGATCGGGGTGCCGGCGCCCACCTCACGTGCTGCAGCAGCTGCTGGCACTGGTTGTGGTACAGCTGGAGCCAGGCCTTGAGCTGGGTCGGGGCGACCACCAGCAGCGGGGGACACGGCTTCCCCAGGGACGCCTGAGACAAGGACACCGGAGCCGCTCGAGTCAGCGACAAGAACGGTTCCGGGTGGCAGCAGGTGTGGCTGCAAACGTGCAAACCACCAAACTCAAACGTCCGGAAGATTGAGGGCCACACTCACCAGAGCCCGTTCTCTCTGCAGCAGAATATTCAGCAAGCCCTGGGGGGCCGGAGGCGGGGTGGAGAAGGGGACACGCGTCAGCCACGGCCAAAGTCGGCTCTCTGCCCGGCGTCCGGGTTCTGGAGTCCTCCTCCCTCCCTACCTGTGTGCGGGGATCCGCATCCGCCATCCCCCAACGCTGCCGTGGGCGGTGTGACCGGGGCGGGGACCCAGCCGGGGTGAAGGCCAAAGCCTCGCTGCTGCGGGACAGCGGGGCGCACGGAGGGAGGAGGCGCCCCCCACCCCCCAGCAGAGCGACTGCACCAGCGAGAGGAAAAGCGGCGCCCGGGGCCCTCTGGGAGGAATGGCAGGAAAGGCGGGGGTGGGGGTGGGGGTGGGGATGGGGTGTGTGTGCAGGGGTCGCGCTGACCAGGGCAGCCCGTGCCCTCCGCTGGGGCCTCATCATCTGCCGCCGCTCACCGTGTGGTGATCCGCGTGCAGGTGGGACACGAACACGGCGGCGAGGGTGCCCAGGACCCTGTCCACCTCGTCTCCGTAGTGACGGCACAGCTGCCCGAACGTGCCTTCGCCACAGTCCAGGAGCAGGGACCTGTCGGGGCTGTGGACAAGTGTGACAGTCACTGGTGCGCGGAAAGGCTTCAAGGTCTGGAGGGTTTGCGTTTCTGGAGAAGAGGCGGAAGCGGCTGGGTGCTTCCTACTCTTCCAGAACCTCTCGTGCTCATTCCGAGAAGCTTCTCTAAACACAAGGCCATTTCGGACGGCCGAGCTCATTATATGAAGGGACTGATTAGTCATGGAACCCTGAAACCCCTGAACGTATGCGGAGTCCCCTGAGCCACACAGGTGCTGCTGGCACCCAGTTTGGGGAACGGGATGGCAAAAGCACGTAGCCCTGAGAACACGGGAGATGCGCATGCACCTGCTGCCCTTGTCAAGCCCCCAGGGACAGGCCGGGCCTGTCGAGCCGCTTGACTGCACCCCCTCAGCAGTGAGAGAATGTGTCCCAGACGGTGTATTTCTGCCAGCGGGGTGCATTTGTAAGTGCTGTGCAGGACCAGCGCGTTAGCCGGTTGGCTGCCCTCCACTGCCAGCATCCCAGATGGCAAAGCAAAATTTCAGAGCCAGCCTGCTATACTGCACGGTCTGACTTCCCACAGACGTGAACACTGCTCGGGGCCCGGACTGACCTCTCTGCAGGCCAGGACACCAGGCAAACCCAAGCGAAGCCCCCAAAACCCACCCAGTCCGGGGGCTGAACCCGAGACAACACACACACCCAGTAGCTGTCCCCCGCACCGGCAGTCACCAGTCAGGACACAGCCCAACCAGTGGTGTAGGCACCAGCTCATGCTCCAGATCCACCCCTGCCCAGCTGTGGCAACTGGTAACCTCGTGGAAGGTTAGTTTACCGATGAAGGAAATGGGCAATCACTACTTCATAGGATTACTGTGAAAAGTCAGCGAGATCATTTCTTAGCAAGGTGCACGGCCTACAGCAGAGTCAGCTGTTTTTGTCAACAGAACAGGGGATGAAGTCTGGTGACTCCCAGAACCTATTAAAGGCATTAACACCCACTACTCCCCTTCTGGACGCTCCGGCCAAGGTGACAAGTGTACACGCTTTGATACGGCCGCATCTTCAAAGTAGCCTGGGCTGGGGGGTGTGGGGGAGGGGGGTGGGGGGCAGGACGCATGTGCCCCCCGTGGATGGAGGTCTCCTGGGACAACAGCAGTACCTTACGTTGACAAGCGTGGCACTGACGTTTCGAATCTTCATCGGGATGGCAGAGCCTGTTCCGAGGAAGACGATTTCTGGATACTGGCTTCTTTTCTCTGTGAAAAACACACGTAAAAGGGTCCATTTGTTTGGATCAGAAGTGAGCCAGCATTCAGCCCTGAGAGGGGTAGGTCCAGCCTCCCAGGAGGGGCTGGTCATCCCACCTGGCAGGGGTCCTTCTGAGGTGGGGCCCCCGCCTGTTTGTGGGTAAGTGGCTGTCTGGAAGGCAGAGTGAATAAACCCGGAGCCTTTTCTTCCAGAGACGTGCTCTAAGTCTTTCGCATCACAAAGGGCACTTCTTCAGGCTATGATTCATTTACCGCAAGGGGCTGGCATCTGCCTGGCATCCAGCCCTTACCACCAGACCTGTTCTTCTTGCAGGCGCCATCACCACCCTGCTGGGGTGGGGGAACCCCCGGCTTTACAGTGGTGCAAACAGGCTCAGAGGGTCAGCCCTCCAGATGGGAAGAGGCAGAGCCAGGACCAGAGGCCAGGGAGACCTGGTATGTCCCTTCCATGAGAGGCGAGGCTCTACACCAGCCCAGGCTGACTTCTCGGGAGAACCTACTGTCGGGGGGAAGGACCACCTGGCTGCATTAACGTCCCCCGCTTTCTAGTCCGGCATTCTCTGCTTCTAGCGTTAGTTGAAAAGCAGGCTAGAAAACCCAGCTACTAGAGCAGAGGTCCCCAAGCTCCCCGTAACAACTTTTCCTGATGGGGCAGTGAAAGCCCAGCAAGGTGAGTGACGGGGCCAGATCTGCCGTGGCTCCCTATTAGCCAAGCCAGGACCAGATCCCGAGTCGGCAGAGGCCCGGTACAAAGTTCTTTCCAGGGTCTTGCAGGAGCTCCCAGAACCGTGGCATATGGTGCATGCCCATTATACAGGGGCTGGGCACCATCACCCAACGTTCGGATTGAGCTGGCCTTGGGTGGAGAGGGCAGGTGGGCAGGCAGGGGCATGGGCGTTTTTGGAGAATAAAGCAGCATGGGGTTATGGAACTAGACCTGGTTAAATGGTGCCAGGCTGTCATTCTCCTTAGCGCTTTGAAACACCCGCAGGAGGGCAGCAACCAGGAGGGGAAGGCGGCTCTGGGGTCTTCCGCTCACCTGCTGGGGCTGGGCCATCCTGCACGGCCTCCCGGTATTCCTGAACGCTTTCCTGGAAATTGGGGAGCTCCAGGGCCTCGGCTATGAATTCATCGGAATTACAGACAATAACAGCATCCCTGCAGGGCGGACAGCATCTCAGTGACCAAAGCGGGCGAGTGGCCTCAAGCAGACGCCCATCTGCAGAAAGTTCTCCACATCAAGACTCAAGAGGAAGCAACCCGGGGCAGTTCTGTTCTCCTGCCACGTGGAACCCTTCTCAGCAAAGCGGGGGCCTTGGAGCACGTTCTGAACAGCTTCGGCCCCTCAGGACATCTCAGCTCAGAGTCTGACAACCCTGGCAATACTGACATCCGGCAGGGTCCTGGCCTCTGCCCGCCGGATGCCACCAGCACCCCCACGAACATGGGCACAGCTCATCCCTCAAGAACCCTGTGGAAACGCAGGCCCTGATTTGGCGCCTCGGGGGTGGAACCCGAGGCTGTTTTCTAGCAAGGCCCCGATGCTACAACATGGCTGGTCCCGGGCACTCTGAGAGGCCAGCCTCGGATCGGCGGCTCTTCACCCAGACTGGGCGCTCTGCTCACCTGGGAGCTCACACAGCGAGGCCAGGCCCAGCTCCCCAGTTTCTAACGCAGGAGGCCTGGGGCATGCACTCTGCCCAGGTAAAGGCGAATCTGGGTATCGGCCAGGCTCGTTACTCAAGGTTTGTGAACCGCCGACAGCAGGCTCCAAAATCCCAAGCCCGCATCTGTGGGCCCCAGTCACGCGACCATGTGGTCTCTCAGAAAACCCAGCTACTCAACACCAGAGCCTCCTCATCCAGTTACAACTAACACGGACACAACGCAGCACACGGGAAGCTTCGACCTGTTCGAGATGCAGATGGGACACGTGAGCCACATGGAGGGACTGCTGGCAGGACCGTCCATGGGCAGAGCCTTTCTGGACGTCACGTTGACATTTACCGAGGGCCTCAGAACGGGTCACACCCCAACCCAGCCATCCCACATCTAAGAATCGCTCTAAGGGGACAAGAGTTCCACTCAGGACACTTACACACTAAACATTTAACGCTTTACATTAAACAATGTTGTTAAACAACAACAACCTAGAAATGTCTGAAATGAGCAAAACGTCCCTATGTGGAGAACCCATAAAAGTCTTGTTCCTGAAGGCTACACAATGACTCGGGAAAAGACGGACCTGTCAGGCCACGGACCCACACACACACTTTTCAAAAGACTGCATTCCCCCTGTGCTCCAATTTAAAAGACAAAACGTTAATGATTCTCTCTTATCTCGGAGGATGGGCCCACGGGTGCCTAATCTTCTCCATCAAACACTCATGTTCTTTGTTGTAAAACAGGAGAAGTGGTATCACCATTATCATGAGGGAAAACGCCTTGAGGAAAGAATAATCGCTGGCCTCTTCTTCCCACCTCAGCCCGGACCAGAGCAGCCGGTTCCGGGGACCGGATCTTGCTGGGGAACTCAGCCGCGCCGGCTCCTTTACTGGTGCTCCAGGCCCCGGCAGAGGCAGGGACGGAGTTCAACACCCGGGACACACACCGCATGGCCCCCTCAGGCTGAAACATCTACCGCCTGGCCCTTCGCCAGAAGAGCTTGGCAGCCCCCGATCTAGACCCTTCGGTCAGCTCAGAGTCCCACAGACCTCTGCCACTCCCTCCGAGGACGGAGCTGATACTTGAGGAGACATTCGCCCCGGACCGTGGGCACACGGAAGAAGGCAGGGTGTTCCTCCTGGAAGACACAAATCCCACTTGGTGGAGAGAAGGACCAGGCGAGGGGGCGGGCCAGGGGCCGCGGGGGACACTACCTGGCTGTGGGGGGTGGCGAGCGGGGGGAAGATGGTGGGGTGGATGAGGCTGAGCTGCGTCTGGATCTTGTGGCTGCGGAGATTGTGGACCGATGAGCAGCTCTCGTTCAGGACCAGGTGCTGGGTGGCGGGCCCAAACCTACGGCAAAGCGACGGGGCGTTCACAGCGCCCTTTAGGAGGACTCCCACCAAAGGGGTAGCGGCGACACCAGGGGCAAAGAAGGTAGAGGGAAGGGTTCAGAGACACTAAGTGGTGGGTCCAGAAAGACCGGCCGACACGGTCCCGCTCCTCTGCCTCCAAGCCCAGTGCCCTCTCCAGACCGAAGCGCCTCGGGCTGTGCCGAAGGAGCGTACGAAGAACCCAGAAGGCTAGATGTCAGGAGCCTGCAGCCAGGGACCGGGAACCAAGTGGAGTACGGGCAGAAGAAGAGGCGACACCTGGGATCGTACAGGGATCCTGAGGACGCGGGCCCTCCAGGGAGGGCAGGCCAAGAGCAGGGGCCTGCGGGGCTCTCCAGGAAGGAGTGGAGGGGCGCCGAGTTCGGCTCCAACACTCCCTCCCCCCGGCTGCTGAGCTTGGCCAGTGGGGCCCCGAGGAGAAGGCAGGGCGACCCCTTCTCCAGTTACTAGAGGCTGGTAGACTTCACAGGGTGGGTGGCGAGAGGGGAGGGTCCACACCCCGCCTGTCACTCCCTAAGCTGAGGCTCACGGAGAGCGGGCGGCAGGTACTCCTTCAGAGTGGGGAGGAGGGCAGGTGGATCCAGCTGGGCCTGACACAAGCTTTCTGCACCAGCGGTACGGGTGTCTGCTCCCCAAACTCACCCCAAACTCCGGGAGGGCAGGGAACCCCGGAAGGAAGGGGAGGGAGCACCTCCCGGTGTGAGGGGGCTCACAGATGGAAATGCACCCTACCTCTCCATCCACTGCTGGTATCTGGGGTCCGCAAGCACACACTCTGGGGCCATGTGCACCACGAGCGCCACGGGGGCATCGGCATTTCCTTGGTACCTGGGCGGAAGGAAGGAGGAGTGGAGTCGGGCCGTGCACAGCGATGCAGACGCAGACCCACCACAAACCGTGACCGTGCGGCCAGGGAAGGGCACCGTGCGGCTTGCTCCCGGGGACTGCAGGGACCCACGGCCTCCGCGCCCAGGCCAGGCTGTGCCCGGGCTGCTCCCAGAGATACCTGAGCCCGGCAGGGCACCAACCCGGGATTCCTCTAGTCCACAGGCTCTGGGGCTGGCCCCTGGGCCTTCCCACTGAGAGCCCGAGCCTCCTCCTGCCCCCTCCGGACACAGGGCTCTGACCTGCGGAGCAGGACCCAAGCTCTCCCAGCCTGTTCCTGCTCCCGCTCTCCTTTATCCTTCACAGGACCTTTCCCCATGAATCTCAGGCACCTGCAGTCCCACCTTGCCGTCTGCCTTCCAGCAGACCCGAGCCACGGGCGTGGAGAATTAAAATTGTCTGTAATTCCGTCTAGAGTTGTCACTTACTAACACACTGAGGTGCTTCCTTCCGGTTCCTCCCCCCAGAAAACACACGCAGTACTTTCTCCCTATCCCTCCCTTCCGCACAAGGGTGACCTGATGACAACACAAAGCCTGCGCCACCACGGAACCCGGATTCACCCATTGAGAATAAAGTGCATCTCAGGAAGAGCTTCCAACGCTAACTTAAAAGCGTTATAGCTGCCCAAAAAAGATCTGTTGTGATAAGTGTAATAAAACACTACGTGCAAAACAGAAAATACGGAGGAACGGAGAAATACACATAGAGTAAACCATTAGGAATGGGAGAGAAACGAGAACAGCGACGTGGGGGTCAAAGCTCCCCGGGACTGAGGCTGAGCTGCCCGTGGGTCCACTTTCTTGGGTGACGAGAGAGAACGGCACCCGGGCCACCAGAAGAGCAGACCAAAGGTGTGTCCAGACTGAGATTCTGTCCCGTAACACGGGCTCTCGACCAAGACGGTCCCACAGCCTTCAGACCTGCCTACTCAGATTCAATATAGGCAAGCAAAGAAAACTTACTTAGGTAAAAATAACCCAAATAACGATCGGGGTATTAATTGGAACTGAAGAAAGTTCTAGAATTTGTCCTAGACTTTGCACTCTAATGGGCCACTGGTTTTCTAGTCGGCAAGTGGTCTCTGACTTTCGCTCTTTTCTAATTTCACTTCCAAGGCTGCACGCACAAAGCCCACCAGGCAGGAGTCTGGAACTCAGAGCGTGGCCTTCCGCAGCCAGGGCTCAGTGCCAGGAGCAGCCACGGGTCAGGCAGACACCCTGACCCTGGTCGATGCCGGCTGGCCTCCCCCCACCCCCAGAGCCCTCATTACCTCTTGAAGGTGGCGTTCTCACAGATGGGTTGAATGAATCCTTCGTCCGGACATTCTACCACAACAAAGGCAAGACCAGGATCCGGAGGAGTACAGATCTCTTCAGGCAAAATCTGCAAAATCACTGGGGTCATGGTTCTCTCCCAGGGCAGAGTCACAGCTCGGCAAACACTGACTGGCCTTCAAGTCAACGGCCCACCTTACATATAATCCCTCCTGAACAAGCACAAAGCCAACATGAGGATCACCACCCATGCCCTTGCCGCGCTCTGCTTATGTACGCCCAGGCGGCTGGCTTGCAGAGGGCGTCTCAAACCCAGGGTGGCCACGAAACCAGGCGGGACATTCACAGTGCCCTCAGGTCTGCGGCCACTGGTCCTGACAACCTTAGACGCCGGAGGAAACATCCTGGCTAAGAACTCAGTGGCATTTCTTGGGGCCAGGGGCCTACAACGCATCCCTCAAATGCTAAGGAGACACTCCGCAGATACACCCAAAGGCAGGCAGCGCGGACAGGCAGGACAAGTCCAGATAAGAGACCCTGCTGTGGGGGCGCCTGGGTGGCTCAGTGGGTGAAGCGTCTGCCTTCGGCTCGGGTCATGTTCCTGGGGTCCTGGGATCGAGCCCCGCGTCGGGCTCCCCGCTCGGCGGGGAACCTGCTTCTCCCTCTGCCTCTCCCCCTGCTTGTGCTCTGTCTTTGATTAATAAATAAAATCTTAAAAAAAAAAAAAAAAAAGGACCCTGCTGTATCGCTCAGTCCAGTGAAGGAAGTCTGAGCTGTCCTACTTCCCGCAAAGGGGAGGTCTGCACCCGCGCTCCAGGCCCTGGCCGTCACTGCCGAAACGTGGCAAAAATGGGGTGTCTCACCTCTCTGCCCTCGTAAGTGATGCTCTTCCCGCCCTTGACTGCAGCAATGATGGGAGCGATGGCAGCTGTCCCACTGGAAGAAGGGGCCAGTCATCCATGAGACGGGGTGCGGCAGGGCCACAGGCGCCCCCACCGCCCCCCCGGCCCAACGGCGCGCCCCCCGCCGACACTCACACTGGCAGGCCCAGCTCCTTGGCTTTGAGCACCAGGAAGTTGCCCTTCTTCACATGAAGCTGTGACAAAAAGAACGTAAACGCCACCTCAGCGAGGGAGGAAGGGGGCAGCTGGGCTTTACCCAGCCTCCGTCCAAGCACGCCGTTCTGGTTTTCCTCCCTCGTGTCACCTCCCCGATCCTCAGAACGCAGCCCGGGTACTGCTCTGAGGTGAAGTACTCTGTGTTCCATGCTATCTCGCGAAGAAGTCCTCTACTCTGAAATACTCCAGGACTAGAAGCTGAACGATTAAAACACGGGCCTTACCTCCCCATGTTAACTTCTTATGAATGTAATAAAATTTGATCCATTTCCAAATCAAACAAAAAGGCTCCTTTGTGTGTCCTTGAGGACGAACACCTCTACCCCACTGGCCTGCACTCGGCGTGTAGGAGCTAACAGGATGTGACCCGACCATGCCGATCCCTGTCCGACTTAATATTGCAATGACAGGGACGGGGCAATCAAAGCGTGGAGGGTCTTTCCCTGGTGTTTTTCACAAACCTGCAACACGGTGTTGCTTTTACCCTGGAGGAAAGCTGTAATGAACAATCCCCAATACACTATTATGTTACAAGGGCAGATGACAATCTGCCACAAAACCTCATAATCATCAATCATTCTGTCCCTGAAAACGTACATGTATTTATGTCATATGTAATAACAAAAAAAAAATTAGAAAGCACATAAAATGTTAATAAATTTTTGAGTATTGAATTACATTCGATTTTCATTTTTCTTCCTTAGATCTTTAAAAGGAAATTACTCTTAGGGCAAAGTCTCCGATTTGGATCCTCAAGCCTTACTAGGATTCTCGAATTTTCTGGCTTGGCAAATGCTATCCTAGAGGAGGGATTACAGCCTAAGTGTGTGCATACAACACAAAGGTGATGAGCTCCAATGACATTTTTAGATGATGACATTAGCAGGGCCTGTTGTGACCCAACCTTCCCTCCAGACCCAGATGTGTTTCAGGATGGCAACCAAGTGCTCTAACGTTTCACAGGGACTTGCAGACCTAAGGCAGGCAAAAGCCCTCCCTCTACGATGAGCTATGCTCAACCCACGAGAAACTGTTCCCACCGAGGGTGTGGGGTGTGTGGAACACAGAGGCGAAGCAGAATACAGTCCCCCGAGGTCCGGGACAGCCACAGTCTACAGGGGTGCGTGGCCCAGCACACAGAGCACATGCCGGGAGAGCCAGGGTCTACAGGGATGCGTGGCCCAGCACACAGAGCACAAGCCATCCTGCCCCATGGCCTCTACCGAGGAAGGCGGGAGGGACCTAATACAATTACAGATGACCAGAGAAACCTACCTGGAAAATTATTTTGCTGCCGAAAAACTCAGAAACACACAAGGAACAAGCCTATCAACAACCATCCTTCACTTGCATAAAAACTACTACTTAAATACAGTGACAGACAGGATACCGGTAATGATCTCGCAGCTAATAATGATTACTGCTGACCTTCCGGAGGGGTTACCCCTGGTGGGTGTGATCATTTGGATAAGAAGTGCAAATATATTTTGAAGTCAACATTACTCCTCAGAAAATAATCACTGCCCACAAAAAGACAACGTAGGGCCTTACCGCAGATGAAAGTGTTTGCTGCAGAGAATCAGATTTTAGCGCACAGCCCTGTTAAAATGAGGCCGTTCGTCCAATTTTTAAAACACCCTATGGTAATAGAATTTTCACAGAATCGGACCAACTTCAGATTTGCGGACACATTACGTTCGATTTTCATTTCTTTTCCTTAGATCTTTAAAAGGAAATTACTCTTAGGGCAAAGTCTCCGATTTGAATCCTCACGCCTTACTAGGATTCTAGAATTTTCTGGCTTGGCAAATGCTATCCTAGAGGATATCTGGGAATTCTAGACGCCTCTGGGAATGCTAGCCAACATGAAAATGAGCCCAATGCTAGTGGTTGAACAGCTACGGTAAAATGATACAAAGTAAAACAGAGTTGGAGGATTCTGAACGAAGGCTCAGTTCACCTGAAGGCAAATAAGGCTACCTTTATTTCTAAGTGCAAGACGGCCAGGCCAGTCGTAGGCAAACATAAACCAGGGGACTTAAGAGCCGCTAGCTTTGAGTCACTGGACGAAAGCTAACCAAGGGTCACCATCACACACTCACAGAAAGCCCACCGGAGAGACACTTGCTTACCTTACAGACGAAAGCTACAACCAAGGAGGGGTCCCTGCCACTCTTTTTCTGGCCAATACCTGAGAAAAAAACAGCTGATTGTAACAAGGCAAACGGGAAGGTTTATGGGCTTCACAGACCAATGATCGTCTGAAGTTATTTCGGCTTCGTGCCAAATTAAATGGACATGACAGTTTGATACAAAAGCCAAAGGAAACACTGGTGTTCCTTCCCCCGCAGACCTGTTCTTTTTCCTACTCACACCCGAGGTCCGAGTGAACGGAAAACACAAATCGCCAGGGGGAAAAACTTTAGAACTAGCTAGTGAAACGTTTAAAAAAATGACCCATTTTACCCAGATGGGGAGGAGAGAGAAAAAAAATAAGTTGTAGCGTGCTTTCTAAACAAGCGAATGCGAAACACCACGAAAGCCAACAGGCCTGCAGAGAAAATGTGGGTGTGGGTCTTCATCCCAAGGAACACGGCTCCCGGGGTCAGCCCCTTCTCGGTGGGTCTTCAGCCGGCCATCCCAGGGAGGACGGCTCCCGGCGTCAGCCCTTTCTCAGTCAGCAGAAAACAATCCGGGCAGAAGGAGGAACGTTAGCAGCCCTGCCCAACACCGGACCACAGTCCCCGAAGGGGTCCCAGTCCTCCAACACATCTAAGCTTGGGATTTTTAACTCCGCTTCTCAGCAGGCTGTCCTTCTGGAAGAGAAGGGGGCTGATCCCCTCACTGACCCAACTGGTCGGCTCTGCAGTTTTCTGCATTCGTGAAAAATTCCTTTGCATTAATGAAAAACGCAAAAGCCTCTGTAGGAACCAATCTGCCAGACCCTGCCCTCCTCCGGGGAAACTGAACACAAAGTCTAGGGCCCAGCCAGGGCTGGGGGTCAGCCCCAGAGCTCTGTACAGCCGTCTTCACGGCAACCCGCCCCCCCACGCTCGCCAAGTCCCACAGCATGCCAAGGAGGACGGACCTGTTTGACACACGGGCTAACAGTGCCAGTTTGGCACATGAAGGGACAGGAGATTAAGAAAACCATTCTCTTGGGCGCCTGGGTGGCTCAGTTGGTTAAGCGACTGCCTCCGGCTCAGGTCATGATCCTGGAGTCCCAGGATTGAATCCCGCATCGGGCTCCCTGCTCAGTGGGGAGCCTGCTTCTCCCTTTCACCTTCCCTCTTCTCATGCTCTCTCTCTCTCATTCTCTCTCAAATAAGTAAAATCTTTAAAAAAAGAAAACCATTCTCTTGACAGGTGCACTGTTCTGTGTAAACAGCATTACCATCCGGAAGGTGCTGCTCCTTTTCAGCAGATCCGGAATCCAAAGACCGCCCTGGACTGAGTCGTTCTGGACTCTGAGATGACCGGCGTTCTCCACACTTCTGCTCACCTGGTTGGCAGGGAAGACAATCAAACCCCACGCCACGGAGGTGAGCGCCCAGCCAGAGCCCCGCTGTTCCCACCAGTCAGAAGCAGAGCGCCCACTGAGGCGGCCTGCCTTCTCCTACGACAACTGCAGGCTGCCTGACGCACCAGCACCACCCTCAGAAGACAGACCTAGGCCGAGGGTCACCCAGCCAGCACGGGCCACAGACTCACGGAGAAGCCACCGGTCACGTGCTAGGAAGGGGGGAACAGCGAGGGACGCAAATCAGGCCCAGGGGTCAGCAGGGATCAGGAAGAGAAGACATCGGACCAGGAGCGAGCCAGGCAGGGAGAGTTCTGATGTGACCGGCTGTCTCACTGACCCCCGAGCACATCTGCCTCTGCTCAAGCGGACCCCCCACCCCCACAGCCTCTCTCCTCCACAGGCGCCCTGCAAGCTTCATCTCCTGGCCAGGGCCGGACTTCTCTGCCCCTCGCTGGGGGCTCTGATCTGTGTCCCCTCTGCACTTGGCAGGCATCAGAGGAGTATCAAGGAGATGTCCCCAGCGTCCTGTGTTCTCCTCACAACCCGTAAAACCCGGCGTGGAGTGTGACTGGCCTGACCCGCCAACTGTGTGTCCCTAAGTCAAAACCACACCATCCGGCCCTGGGGCCTATGAAGGTTCATGAGACCTTCTGACCTGCTCACAACACTTCCATCAGCATTAGTATTGATGGAAAAGGGTTACCAGGGCAAACCTCTCCAGCAACCTCTCTCCAAAGAGGGTACTTACATCTGCGGCAAATAAACCCCAAGCAATAAATGTGCACATCCGAGAGCCGTCTATTTTCTGACACTACTTGATTACATAACATCCCAAAGTATAACCATGATCGTTACCTAGGGGCTAAACGTGTCTGTCTGTAAGATTATAAACTCCCTAAGGGCAGGAACCCTGTCTTAATTTCTCAGCTAAATTTCCTAATCATATTCAAAAACACGAAACTGGGTACACAGCGCCAATATTCCAGCAGTTTCTATCTTTACCCCACATTTTCCTTGCCTGGGACCTGCAGCCCTCCCTCCTGCTAGGAAATGGGACTTGTGCACTCACTGTATATGGGTATCTGGAAGACAGTCATGGTCTCATCCTTGTATTCTGGTGCCGAGTGGGGCCGCACAGCTGCATGAGAAAGACCAAGGACAGTGACCACACTGGACAAACACACTGGGGAAAAATGAGCTTTCCAGATCACCAACCACAAGCAACTGATTTACCTTGGAAGTTGGCTGGGAATCTACACTAAACCCAGAATCTCTGAATAAATGACAATTTTTAGGAAAGAAGCACCCATATATTTTCATCGGCTGTTAATATTTACTATGTTAAAAAAAAAAGACACATAATATGATCACTACCTGTTAAAAAAATAAAAAAAAAATTCTCAAATTTAAGAGGCGTAAGTTAACACACAGCATTGTGAGGCCAGGGAATCGGCCATCTCAACTGTAAGAACTGGAATTCAATTTGAAGTAAAACATTAGTGTTTTTATTGAAGAGGCACACTGACAAGCCAGGGAGGCAGGACGGGGCCCTGCTGGCCTCCTCGGTTAGGCCTCTCCCCAGGAAGAGGCCACGTGCCTCCCAGCACCGCCGGAGCAATTCGACTGAGAACCATCTGTAAACTATATCTGGGGGCATGACGTGGGGGCACAGGAATTGCAACAGGCACTATTTTCAAAATTCATCTCATTGATGAAGCATTTGATGTTAAGGCTTAATTTAGTCCAAGTTCTATGGATTCTAGTTTGGGAGACTGGGGCATATATAAGAAAGAAATGGCAGATGGTGAGTCAGACTGAGGAACATACCCAGGTCTATTCCTTTCAATGGACCAGAAAATATCTTGATAGCTTCTAGGTATTTTTCCTACAAAAGACAAAGAAAGCAGCAGTTACGGTTGTACAAAGGCAGAATGCAGCTACACGGCAGCATGTGAGAATTATCAAAGGGCATCAACATAGGGGCGCCTGGGTGGCTCAGTCAGTTGAGTGTCCGACTTGATTTCAGCTCCAGTCGTGATTTCAGGGTCCTGAGATCAAGCCCTGCATTGGGTTCTGTGCTCAGCGGGGAATCTGCTTGAGATTCTCTCTCTCTCTCCCCCCCGCCCCTCCCCCCACTCACCCGCACATGCTCGTACTCTCTAAAATAAATAAGTAAAATCTTTAAAAGTACTCATAAAGGAAAAAAAATCAGTATTGTACTGTGTTTTTTAAAAAGTTAGTAGATGGGGTGCTTGGGTGGCTCAATCAGTTAAACGTCTGCCTTGGGCTCAGGTCATGATCCCAGGGTCCTGGGATCCAGCCCTGCGTCAGGCTCCCTGCTAAGCAGGGAGCCTGCTTCTCCCTCTGCCTCTGCCCCTCCCCCTCCTTGTGCTCTCTCTCAAATAAATATATAAAATCTTTAAAAAAACAAAACAAAACAAAAAAGCCATGGGGCACCTGGGTGGCTCAGTCGTTAAGCATCTGCCTTCGGCTCAGGTCACGATCCCAGGGTCCTGGAATTGAGCCCTACATCGGGTTCCCTGCTTGGCAGGCAGCCTGCTTCTCCCTCTCCCACTCCCCCTGCTTGTGTTCCCTCTCTTGCTGTGTCTCTATCAATAAATAAATAAAATCTTAAAGAAAAAAGAACTTTAAAGAAGTTAGTAGTTTATTTTGTCCCCCCTGCCAGCTTTATTGAAATGTAATTGACACATAATACTGTGTAAGTTTAAGCTGCACAAGATGATGATTTAAGTCTGTGTTGCAAAATGACTACCACCATGTGGCTAACATCCATCACCTCAGTTATAAATACATCTTTTTTTTTTTTTAAGATTTTATTTATTTGACAGAGAGACACAGCGAAAGAGGGAAAACCAGCAGGGGGAGCTGGAGAGGGAGAAGCAGGCTTCCCGCCAAGCAGGGAGCCCAATGCAGGACTCGATCCCAGAACCCCGGGACCATGACCTGAGCCGAAGGCAGACACCCAACGACTGAGCCACTCAGGTGCCCATAAATAAATCTTTAAAAAAAAAAAAAAAAAAGGAGGCAACATGAACTTTAGCATTTTGAACCACCTTTACAAATATTTAGTGTCCACTATATGCCAGGTTCAAAGGGTTTAGCAGGGGACACGGTCCCCGCCCTCGTGAAACTTAAAATCCAGTGGCGAGAGAACTGAAACAAATAAGCACGGACAACTGGGTAGCAGCAGTTGTGCTAAGGATCTGCGAGAAGCTGGAGAGAAGGGAGCAAGATGGCGGAGGAGTAGGAGACCTGGATTTTGTCTGGTCTCAGGAATTCAGCTGAATCGGGATCAAACCATTCTGAACACCTATGAATCAACAGGAGATCGAAGAAAAGAACAGCAACAACTCTCTGAACAGAAAAGCGACCACTTTCTGGAAGGTAGGACGTGCGGAGAAGCGAATCTGAGGCGATATTCGGGAGGATACACGGCGGGGGAGGGGG